CTGAACTTAGATCCATTTCTGATTAGAGACTTTCTCACTGTGTAGCCCAGGCTGGTCTTGCAGTCGTGATTCCCCTGCCTCAGCCTTCTGAGTGCTGGGATTACAGACGTGTGCCACCAAGCCCAGCTGATCAGTCAGTGACTTTTCATTTGAAAACTCTGTCATTTTCATGTGTCCTACCTTTTGCTCCTAATACTTTTTTCTACTGTTTGGAATCAAAATACTTAAAAATGGTCCCGTAAGGGGGAAAATTGGGAGAAAAGTTGGAATTCTAAAGGAGCAGAGAAATGTTGAGTTCTAGAAAGTGCTTACTAATTGTGATCACGTGGAAGGGACCTTGATGTCTGAGTAGTGCATTCATGTTCTTTTTCTCTCTCTCCTTAATCCTAGCTGTGGGTTTTAACTCTGATTATGGGAAAAGAACTTGAGGCACCTTTTGTCGTTTGAATGGTGGAGATAAGACAAACCTTTCTCACAAGAGCAGTTGGGAAGTAGTCCTGTACTTGCTGTACATATTTTGGAATTTTTGTTTTTTCCTAAAAGTCGCTGATCTAGGTTCAAGCTATTGGATATTTTATTTGCCTAAGTTGCCTCTAGGCAGATTGAGCAACTTCTGTGTTTTTTCTGACCTACCAAATGGAAATATTAATGACATTAATGTCTCACGTGTTACAATGAACTAATGCATGTAAAAAACTTAGCGTGATGATTGTGTGATGAGTCACCCTCTGTTAGCCATGCTGGTGCATTTCACGTGCCGTATGCTTGGATGTGCGGAGGAAGTAAGGAGCGTTTGTGGCCACGGAAGCCACAAGCATGGCGTCTGTCCGCAGACCAGCAGCGCAGGTGGACCCATGGGAAAACGCCTGATCTTGCCGTGTGGTTAATTTGTTCCTTGTGCTGTTCATAGGTAAGTTTTGGTGGTGACAGTTAATGAGAACATAGAGTGAAGATTCAGAAGAGAGCTTCTAGTTAAAGTGTCCAATTTTACAGCTGTAACAATGCGTGAAAACTTGGGGTGTCCTTCCAGGTCAGGAGTAGCTTCTCAAAATGATGTGCCGTTAATACCTCGTAGGGGCTGTTAGACATGAGGTAGACGACAAATGCCTGGCACTGTGTATAAATCTGAGTACATTAGCTGTCTTGGGCAGTCGTGTTGAATGTCTCTCACGTATATCTTTGTCTTGCTTACAGTTATTCCTGTAGGATAGGTTCATCATTTTTTTCCTCGTGATTGAGGGTCTCAGTTCAGAGCTGTTGGTCCTACTGCTGCCTTCCATGTCCAGCATCGTGCTTGACACATACTAGATAATCTGTAAATGAGTAAGAGACTCCGAAATTAAAGATGGCATATAAATATAAAGTAATGACATTTTACTAGCAGGCGTTGCAGAGTGCGACACTGGCAGGGGTGTAGTGGCCTTGCGACAGGGTATATGACGAGTGCATGGCCTGCGAAGTATAAGTGGGTAAAAGCAGTATTGTAGCACGCTCACATAGCCTTAAATACTCACATGCTTTAATCTAGCAGTTTTGCTGTTAGGAATCTTTTTTGTTTTTTGTTTTTTGTTTTTTTTTTGGTTTTTCTCCAGTACCGGGAAAGGAATCTTTTTTATTTTCGTGTTTTTGAGACAGGGTCTCACTGTGCAGTTCAAGCTGGCCTTGAGCTCACTTTGTATCACGGGCTGGTCTTGAACTCGCAGCCATCCTCCTGCCTCAGCCTCCCGAGTGCTGGGATTACAGGTGTGCACTACTGCGCATGGCTAGGAATCTTATTTTATGGAAATAATCCTAAACACAAGAAAAGAGTGTGTACTGTGAGATTAAACCTGGGAAGTAATAATTGTAGATAACTTATGGTGAATTCAGAAGTGGGGATATTCTTTTAGCCATTAGTGTTGATTGTTAATCATTTTGTAATAATAGTAGATGAGTTACGGTGAATTCAGAAGTGGGGATATTCTTTTAGCCATTAGTATTGATTGTTAATCATTTTGTAATAGTATGTAAAGATGCCGAACTGAAGGAAAAGTAAGGATACGATGCAGAGTAGACGTGAGGTGGTGTGGCGTCCCGAGGACTAGCAGCCTGCCATGCTTTTCTTTCACGCCTGCAGGGACCCGCAGGGATGGCCTCAGGCCTTGTGTGTTTTTAGCTCTGTAGCCCAGCTTTGTTCCTTGCGGGCTCTGTCGCCTCGCTTGTCACTTCAACTTATTGGCTTTTCAGTGACTTTCGTCTTTTATTCAAAGTCTTGATATTACCACCTAGCATAATTGGAAGTATATTTAGTCTATCAAGTTCCTGTTAGTCTGTTTCCTCTGTGTAGTACCTTAGTCTTTTAAGTAGGTAAAACAGTTGTCCTTGTTTATGTTGGACCAAACCACGGAGCTGTGCTTGTTGGGTATCTGTGCCACCCGTAAATGTAATGGGGGGAGTGGATAAACTGGAGCCTCAGCGTTGCCATAGAGATGATCATGTTGGAAAATGTAGAGGTTGGAAAATCTATAGGTTTTCTCTAAAGAACAAGCCAAAGAAATCCTGGAGTAGGCCTCAAGTGTGTGACTTCTGGGTCTTGCCATAAAGGGGTGTGTGTGTGTGTGTGTGTGTGTGTGTGTGTGTGTGTGTGTGAGAGAGAGAGAGAGAGAGAAAGAGAGAGAGTGACTGGGATTGAACTTGGGTTCTTTGCCACTTAGCTACCTCCCAGTCTTTTAAAAAAAATTTTGAGATAGGATCTAGGTAAGTTGCCCCTGTTGGCTTCAAATTTGAGATCGTCTCTCCTCAGTCTCTTGAATGGTTGGGATCACAGGCTTGTGCGACCACAGCTGGCAAAACCTAAGAAACTTAGAGCTTGTTCGGTTCCTGGAACGTAAGCAGTGTGCCATTTGGAACTGAAAGGTTGGTGGTGAGCACAGTGGAAGAGCGAGGGCAGGAAGTTGCAAATAGAAAGGGGCCATGTTGTGTTCGCTGCCTTGGGAGTTGTTGGAGCTGTTAAAAGCAAGAGATGCAGTGTTGGGGTGCCGGGTTTGAATCATCAGTCTCTCACCTGTAACATAGTGACAGTACTGTCTACTTTAAAGGATTCTTGCGAGAAAAAAATGAAAGTATTTCATTTAAGAAAGCATGCAGAATGGTTTTCTGGGATGTAGTAAATATGCACAAAATGGTGGGTGCTACCATAAAAATCATAATCATCGTGCAATTTAAGCAGCAGATAAAGGAGATTGGCTAGCATGTAGAATGACCTCTTCGCAGTGTAGAGGATGGTAGACTAGGGCTTGAAGAGATACGGAGCAGGTTGAGAAGCTGATGTAAAAAGCTAGAGGACAAACAGTGAAGGTCTGACTTAAGGTTAGCAATAGAAGTAGAAATAGATAGTAATATCTAAGTGTTAGCGTTGACAGGACAGCCAGGTGTGGTGGCGCACGCCTGTAATCCTAGTTCTCGAGAGGCTGACGCAGGGGGATCATTACAAGTTTGAGGCCAGCCTGGGCTATGAAAGTGAGTTCAAGACCAGCCTGAGCTGCATAGTGACACCCTGTCTCAAAAACACCAAAAAAAAAAAAATTGACAGGCTAGACTTGCTGATGTTCCCGGGTCTGCTAGGGACGTTAGGGTAGCGTGTGATCTGGCTTGGATGAGTGTAGAGTCCATCCCACCTAGAGAAGTGGAAACTGCAAAGGAGATTTAGGGAACAGAGAAGATGAATTAAGCTTTAGATACAAGATTGAAAAAAATGCATGTGGGAGACCAGCTTGGACTTGGGGAACTTCAGAAGGGTTGGATAAATTCAGGGGACAACTTCAGCTGGCTTTGGAGCTAAGTATTCGTGGTGGTGGTGGCAGCTGCAGCCCCGGAAATAGGTGAGTTCTGCGCAGAGGTAACAAAGCCTGAAAACTCACGCAAACGTTGAAGAATTAAGTTACTTGCCAACCGCCATGTTCCACGTGAACATTTTTCATGCACATTTTTATAACATGATGTCGTGGTGCTGTATGTATTACTTACCTGTTCGGAAATTGCTGTAATCCTGAAGCCACGCAACTGCTATTGGAGAGACTCCTGGCATGACTTGGGTGGGCTTTCGGCAGTCAAGACTTCAGTGAAGGTCTTACTCAGTGCTAGTCTTTGGTGAAGCTCAGCTGGGAAGGGGTCTGTTGATTGGCTCCTATGGCTGTGCCAAGGTTCGTTCCTTGTTGATTGTCGGACTGAGAGTCTTAGCTTCTTGGTAGCCACCTCAGGTTCTTACCAAGTCTAAATGTGCGTGACTGCTTACTGACCAAAGCTAGTGAGAGAGCGTTAGCTGGCCAGGTGCAAGTGAAATCCTGACCGACAGTCATGGTCCTGATACCTCATCACTTTTGTGTATGTGATGGATTACAAACCTTACAGGCCTGCTACACCTTGAAGGAGCAGATTTCGCTGGAGTAGATGTCAGGAAATAGAGGTAGTACAGATAATGGGTGCTGTCTTAGAAAATGTTTCGTTCACAGAGAGAGGTGTCTGCTGTAAGTAACCCTTCTCTTCCTGTTCACAAGAGGGCACTGAACACAGCCTAGTGATTCGTCCTGAATTAGGTCGTCGCCAGTGTTGGGGTCAGGCCTGAGTCCGAACTGTCCTTCTGCACAGCTTGGGCTGTCATTGTATATTAAGGCTGAGAGGACTGGGGATATAGCTCAGCAGCACAGCGCCTGCCTTGCAAGCATGAGGTCGTGAGTTCGATTTCCTGTACCAAAAAAAGACTGAGAAAATGGCTGTAGAAATAGCATTTGGGGGCAGTTCTTTCTGTTTCTTTCTTTTCTTCGTCCGTTAGTGGAGTGGTGTGGTTCCGAGTCGAGTGCTGGTCTCAGTACGGGGAAGGAAGAGGGGCGGAGCTGAGACTCCTGAGGTGGTGGTTTTAAAGGGAAGAAGAGAAAATGATCGCGTGGTGACTGCATGTTGTTGTTACTTACTGAGTTGGTTCTCTGTGTAGTAATTCAGAAATTTTCCTTTTCCAGTTCTCTGAGTTGAACCAGTAATGCCATTCAGGTGCCAATATCAAGCAAAGAAACAGAAGCCAGTTCTGATCTGCTTTTGAAGAAACGTGGCAGTGCTTTTCACAGTGCCTGACGGTAAGTCGTAGCACCTGGCTGTAACTCACAGCTCCTGCCTTTATAACTAAGTTTTCGATCTAATGCATCTAAAATAATGATTTTGGAAACTTAATTTCAAAGCCTAAAATTTTACCTTTTTCTGCTACAGTAATTTAAACTGTATAAGGCTCATGTGGAAAGAACATGAAGAAAGGTACCTACCAGTTTCTGAGGATTTATAGTTTCCTTCTGCCGGGTTCATTAATCAGTGAGATTTTAGCCATTCATTTGGTAAAAGTAAAAATACTCGGTCAGTGATGATGAACCTTTTAGCCACCGTGGCCAGCATGCCGTGGGTTCACCACCACTGTGCTAGGTGGTGAAATCTGGTCTTCTATATTACCCACTCCCCTTTAAGGCAGGGTCTCACTGTGGAGCCCAGGCTGGCCTTGAACTCATGGCAGTCCTCCTGCCTCAGGCTCCCAAGTGCTGGGAGTGCAGGTTTGTGCCGCCATACCCAGTAATGCCCTTATATGTTTTAGACGACGAAGCTTCGTGTTATAAATGAGCATGGAATGTGGGCAGTGTTCTTATTTCTAGGCCTGTGTGCTTTTTACTGATGTGTAAAGTAACTGAACAACTGCCCAAGGTGGGCTTAAACTTGTGATCCTCCTGCCTCAGCCTCCAAAGTAGGTGTACCTCTACACCTGCCTCAAGGATTTTATTCTTAATGTAAAAAACTAAAATCTTCACACCAACTTTCCCCCCTAATATCTGGTCTCCTATTTTTCTGAAAACAATTTTATGTTTTCAAGGGAAAATTATACTCTCACTAATCTCATTACTGTTTATTTGTAAGCATAGAGTTTACCCCGTGACCCAGTGAGTAATCCCAGGCATCAAAACTCATTTTAACTTTTGTTACTTACATGACAAGACTGATGATTTACACTTGTAAAACTGGATCACTTTGCACACTTGTGAGTACATGTGTGTCCCCGCTCCAAGACAGAGGGTTGCTCTTTAGTTCAGGCTGGCCTGGGACTTGGTATGTAGGCTACCTAGGTGAAGAACGCTTGACCTCTCGACCCTCCTACCCCAGGCTCCTCAATGCCCCTGGGGTACAAGCTGCACCACCGTGACCAGCTGATCGTTGTTTTGTTCTTCCTTTTAGGAACTATATCAGAAGGTGAGGTGTAAGCTCACAGAGTCCAGAGAAGTCATCATGAAGTTGTATGTATTTCTGGTTAACACTGGAATTACTCTAACATTCGACACTGAACTTACGGTGCAAACGTGAGTTGTATCGCATTTATGCTCTTCAGTTTTGCGTCCTGTGTATATGTGAAAAGTTAAATACTTGATATGAGAAAACTGTTACACTTTTAAAAAGAACTAACAGTACAAGTCCTAAATCTTTCACATTAGCACAGCATATAATTACCATTGTTCTCCGAAATGCTAAGTTCTTTACATGTATTTTAATCTGTTTGGATGAATATCTTATTCCCAGTGAACGTACTTACCCACAAACTGATTTCATTCTGCTGCTGTCATTGTAGCACCTACGACCAGAACTGTTCAGAGTGACATAGACGGCATACTGTTTCTTGCCGGACTGAGTCCAGGGCATTCCCTGAGCCATATCCTCAGTCCTCTTACTTGTTGTGTTATGTTACATTATCAGACAGGTTCTGAGTTGCCCAGGGGCTGGGCTTGAACTTGAAATCTTCCTGACGTAATCTCCCAGGGTGCTAGGGTTACAGCGTGTGCCACCATCCTCTGCTTCACAGGGCATCATTAAGGGAATTACTGCTAGCTTTGTGAGCCAGTGTATATCACTTCCTTTCTTTTTGGTTTTATCTTCTCTTACGTGAAGAAAGTTGGTAGATTTGTTTTGTTAATGAGAAAATAAAGTAAGGTTAAAAGTTCAGCTAAATTAGTGGGACTCGTATCTATCATTCTTCAACCTCGTAGGGGTTTCAGGTACTGTATTTGACTGGTGAATGCCCTGTATACTTGTGAAAATTGGGGAGAGTGCTTGTGTTTTGAGGCTAAACAAGCAGGAAAGAATAGAAGTAGTGTGCATTTGTTTGTTTTGGGCTTTTGAGCAGGCATCTTTCTTTGTTGCCCATGCTGGGCTGGAACTCATGGGCTCAAGCAAACCCTCTTGCCTCAGCCTCCCAGGTAATTGGGACACAAGCTGAATCACTGTGACTAGTTAATGCTAAAATGGTTGTACTTTGTTTAACCAATTATCTTTGTTTGAAAAATGATAATAAGGGGTTATTTTACTTTTAGAAAAGACTAGTTTTCATTAAGTGCATTTTACCCCTGGAGGATAATCTTTTTGAAAGGTAGGAAAAAAAGGAGTTTTCATGTGGTTTGGACTTAATACAGTTTCTGTAATGTGATGTGAAGAGGTTAACAGATTTTGGGTTTACAGGAATTTAATATACCTGATGATGCCAGCGTCAGCATGCTCCTTCGTTTATGCATTATATCAATCACCAGTGTTTCATAGACTTTTTTGTTTGTTTGTTTGTTTGTTTGAAATAGGGTCTCAGTATGTAGTCCAGCCTGACCATGAACTCACTTTGTGGCTCGGGTTAGCTTTGACCTTGGTGGCTGTCCTCCTTTGTCCCCTCCCAAGTGCTGGGTTACAGGTGTGCCCTGCCATGCCTGTTCATACTCAGTTTTAGATATAACAAGTGAGGAATCTAGTTCAAGGAATAGGGAACCTTTTTTTCTTACTAAGTTTTGGGGAAAGTTTTAAGAGTGAGATTTGCTAGTCTACTGAGTATTTTTATGAAGTACTGCTTTGATAATAAAGTCAGAGGGCAGATGTAAATGACTGATTCTTGTTTTTTTCTGGAAGTGTGGCAGACCTTAAACATGCCATTCAAAGCAAATACAAGATTGCTATTCAGCACCAGGTGCTGGTGGTCAATGGAGGAGAATGCATGGCTGCAGATCGAAGAGTGTGCACCTACAGCGCTGGGACGGTAGGTTTGTGAGCACCTAGTTGTACTAAGGGCCTTTCCCAACAGAGGGGGCTGGGCCTCGAAGTGAGGCTGATCCGCTTCGTTCACTCGGAGCGGTGCCTGTTCAGTGCTGTAACATTTTCTTTTCAGTTATTTCTGCTTTTCTTATTACAGGACACAAATCCAATTTTTCTTTTTAACAAAGAAATGATCTTATGTGATCGTGCGCCTGCTATTCCTAAAACTACGTTTTCAACAGAAAATGACATGGAAATAAAAGTTGAAGAATCTCTTATGATGCCTGCAGTTTTTCACACTGTCGCTTCAAGGACACAGCTTGCTGTGGTAAGATGTAAAACAGTTACTTTAACTAGCTACCTGCCCTCACCTGAAAGCTCACAGATGTGAGTAGACTTCCGAACTACATAGGGAGTGTGCAGAAGTTATGAGAAGTACCATACTGCGTGGTTAATATATCTAGTCTTTAAATTTCAGGCCCATACATTCTTAGTTTACCTACATTGACAATTACGGGATTTTAGAGTGAAAAACCTGCTTGAAATATGACTTGGTCAGCTTCTCTCCTAGATGATGACATTTCTTTATTTGTACCTGTGTTACATTAGACATAGAGCCAGTTATTTGCTTTTCCTTTTTAATTTATTGTTTACCTTGCTGTAATATTATTGACTGCAAGCCATCAGTAGTAAGCTGTGTTTTGCTTTCATGTGTGAAAAAATATGTTGGAGGATTAATGAAATAACAGTATTTACCTTTTGTAAAAATAGATAACATACTAAACATTTCATTAGTGAAACTCTTTGTGGTGTGCAGTGGAACCCCGAAATTCACAGGGGTTGCGTTCCTAGAGCACCTGAGAGTTAGGAAAAAGTGTGAATTTCAGATATGGGCGGAAAAATGCTGATGTCTGTATAGTTTAAACCCTAAATATGCTGTCTCTTGCACTTACGTAGTCTAATAAAATACTGCATTAGTACAGCCTCACAAGGTGCAGGGCGTTTTAGCGGCATCTTAGGGCACTTAGGGCTTTATGAACAAAATAGACAGCTGCACGCAGTACAGCACCCCGTTACGACGCCGAATGCTGGGGCTCATGCTGGAGATGGTGACAGAGCAGCAGCAAGGAGCACTGAATAGCCCTCTCTGAGTGGCTGCGTGCAAACCTCCTGCCACAGAAAGAACTGCAGAGGGTATTTGTGGTTTCCACGAACAGCTGTTAGGTTCTAAGGAAAAACCTGTGAACAACTGAGGCCCTGAACTGTGAAGTGTGACTTTGCTGGTATATGCTGGTATGTGAACCTGCCTCCTTTCCACATAGGGTGCAGCATGAAAGGGATCAACTGGGTCTTTTTCTGATACTTTTTTTTTTTTTTTTTTTTTGTCTTTTTGAGAAGGGGTCTCGCTATGAAGCACAGGCAGGTCTTGAGCTCACTTTATAGCACAGGCTGGTCTTGAGCTCTTAACGATCCTCCTGCGTCACCCTCCTGAGTGCTGGGATTACAGGCATGCGCCACCACACCCGGCTTGAAACACATTTTTGAGACAGGATCTCCCTTATGTAGTCTAGGCCTGCTGTCAACTTGCTATGTAGCCCAGGCGAATCTCAAACTTGGAATCTTCATGCCTCAGCCTCTGGGCTATGAGAAGACAGAAATACATTTTTTAAAGAAAATAATTCTGTTACCTGAATGTATGTAAGAATCCTTTACGTATTTGGGGGTGAGGGGAATCGGGAATTGAACCCAGTGCCTTTACACTGGGCTTCATTCCCCGTCCTTTTTTAAATTCCTTATCTTGAATCAGGGTTTCACTAAGTTGTCTAGTCTGGGCTCAAACTTGTGGTCCTCCTGCTGCAGCCTGCAAGAGTGCGGAGACTGGTACGTGCTTGCAGCTAAGGATAGACACTCAACACAGTGTTAAATACGATTGGACGTACAGTTCTCAGGCACAGGACATCTCAGTCAGCAGAAGGATCCCTATATCAGAAGTCTTTAAATATGAGCTGGCATGATTTCTCTACTGCTACCTGATAATAGAAAGATGAAATAGATGAAGTAAGGAAGAGGAGCATTGCTATTGACATTCCAGATTAGCAATTTGAGATTCAAGTAGCAGAATAGTATCAAAATGGTCAGTATTCAGCTAGGTGTGGTGCTGCAAGCCTGTAATCCTAGTACTACTTTGAGGCAGAGGCAGGAGGAATCATAAATTCAAGCCCAGCCTAGGCAAATTAGGAATATAGCAAGACTGTTTGAGAATAAAAGAGAGTTATGAATATAGCTTATGCAAAGGCCCTGGGTTCAAACATTAGTTACCCAAACACACAAAACAACTAAGCATTCTGAATAGTTTCCTGTTAGAACAGATCACTTTTTCAAGAAATTGATTTATATGAGACTATCTTGCCTTTTTAGTTGACTACTACTGGTGCCCTGCAAGGCTGAGAAATTCCATATTTAATGTCCCTTTGTTAATAGTCTTGGCCTTAGGTTTTTTAAAGAGTTTCTTCTTGGCTTATCCTAAAGTCATGAAGGGAAGAAGCAGTGTAGACATTTCAGTGCCTCTGTTGTGTAATCTTCAGAGGCACCTTTTCTTTTTCACTTTAACACTTCATTTTATAAATTAGCCATATTTGATCTTTATGTAGTGGTATAAAAATAGAAAATACATTTTATGAGTCTAGTACCCTCCTTTCTAAAATTTAATGCCATTGTCTTGATGTTTCCAGATTCTTACATACAAAGACATTTCATTTTTTATAATGGCTAAATTATTTTATTGTACTAATTGAAGTAATTTATTGATAAGCATTGAGGTTGTTTCCATTTTATTTTATTTTATTTTATTTTATTTTATTTTATTTTATTTTGGTTTTTCTCTGGTACTGAGAATCAAACTCACGACCTTGCGCTTGCCAGGCAGGCGCTGTGCCACTGAGCTAAATCCCCAGCCCCTTCATTTTATTTTTTTTTCTGTTTCATTTCATAACATCAGAAAATCTTCTAGTATTTTTGCTTTAAGCAGGATAAACTCTTAGAAGAGATGTGACGGTGCCAGTTGGTGGGTTAGTTTAATTTTATAATTACTGCTGAGTTGCCCTGAGAGACACTCTTCCCAGTGTCCCGTCATCAGCAATGAGTAATATTTTTCTTCCCTCCCACCCTCACAGCACAGGGTGTCACCAAACTATAGCTGACAGTTTTTTGTAATTTTACTTTTCTTGAATTATCTTTTCATAGATTTAAAATCCAACCTATTTTCCCAGTGTTGTTAGTATGTGTGTTCCTGCCCTTAGTGCCCTGTCTGTCTCGTAAAGTTATATTATCAAATCTGTGCCCCCATCTCATATCAGCATTAGAAAAAGAATTCTTAATTCAGCATGAGTATACTTCTCCCCCCTCCTTTATGTATTTTCTTAATTTTATAATCTTTTCCTTTTCCTTTTTTTTGTTAAGGTGTAAGAATACTTGTATTGTGTGCACTTGACACCCAGTTATGTTGATACCACTTACGAAGTAATAAGCTTTTACCCACTCAAAGTGACAGCTACATACAATACTACACTAAGTTCCAGTATCTGCGTTTTCACTTAAATTTTGATCTCAGTAACTGTATAGCTTTGTTATTTTTTAATTTTTTTGTCTTTTTGTCTTTTTGAGACAGGTTCTCACTATGCAGTTCAGGCTGGCCTTGAACTCTCTTTGTAGCCCAGGCTGGCCTCCAACTCAAAATGATCTTCCTGCCTCAACCTCCCTCAGCCTCCCGAGTGCTGGGATTACAGGCGTGTGCCACCACACGCAGGTATTATCTTTTTCAATAGGCAAGTCTGTGTCTATTGGAATGGTCTTCTGTTTTTTTTTTTTTTTTTTTTTTTAAAGACCGGGTCTTGCGGCCCAGACTGGCCTTGAACTTTTAGAAATCCTCCTGTCTCAGCCTCCCAGTGGAAGTCATTTTTTAAATTTTGAGTTACTGTGACCTTTATAGGAACATTTGAAAACTTACGATTAACATTCTTTTTCCCTTTGGTATTAGATATTGAATCCAGGGCTTTTGGATGGATGGATGGATTTATTTATTTAATTTGAGACTGCATCTCACTAAACTGCCAAGCTACCTGGGTTAGGCTTGAATTTTGATCTTCCTGCCTCACCCTTCCAGATTTCTGGGATTACAGGTGTGAGCCAACATCCTGACCTCTGTTAACATTCTTTATTTTCATGTATGGAGATTCATACATCCCAGTTAGACTGGCTGTTAACATCTGCTGTTAACAGTCTGTTAATCTTTCCAGTTATGCGATTTTGAATTCAAGTATGATCTTTTGAATTATTTGAATAATGACATTTTCTTGTCTATATTTTTTGGTAACAGACATACTGCTTTTTACCTCTGGCCTGTGTATGTGCTCCTTTGGATATGTACAAGATTTGTAGTGTGTTTTGAATTCTGAGATCTTTTTGGGAGGGTCAGTGCTGGAGATTTAACCAAGGGTCTTTGCACTGAGCTTTATCGCCCCCTCCATTTCTTTTGATACAAAGTCTCCTTTGATACAAAGTCTCACTAAGTTACCCAAACTAGACTGGAATTTGCAGTCCTCCTGCCAGCAACCCTCAGAGTACTGAGATTACCTTGCCCGGCATATTTTGTAATCTTTAATGCTGTGCTAGCTGGCCCTGAACTCAGGGCAGTCCTCTTGTCCCTGTCTCCCAAATGCTAGGATTAGAGGCGTGCACACCACACGCAGCCAGCGTCCCTGTCTTCTAAGCCGGGTACTCCGTCCTCACATTGGTCACTTCTGCCTGTACTTTCAGTATAATTTTTAATCTCCTGGATTTCTTTTTAGAGCCTTTCGTGGACTCTAATACTTCACTAAACTGGTCATTCGTGTTCCGTATGTTTGTTTATTAGCTCAGCTAGCTTTTTATTAGTGTCTTCGGTGAGCTCCTTGATTGTTTTACAACCTGCACTATCTGAGTAGTTATATCTTGTGGAGGCTGCCTCGCATGTCAGTAATCTGTTTTTTAATCTGCTGCTGTCCTTTAAAATGATGGGATTCTGTGGCTTTTGCTTTCTTTCCGCCCAGTGTCCTGTGGACCGGTACTGGGGTAGGTGGGAGTTTGGGAGGCATTGTGCTGCTTGTCTTTCCTTGTTCCTGTGTTTTGTTTGTTCACTTGCATGCTTCGTCCTTAGGTGTCCACTCTCACAGTGGGCTTTGTTTCTGGTGTGGAGCTGCCTTTGGTTAGCCTGCTTTTCAGTGGTGCACAGGGCGTGGCTGAGTATACTCCTGTGTCGATGTCCCGAGATCCCGCCAGCCCTGTTAATTCGGGGAGGGGTTGCAGCGGCTCAGCACCCGGTGCCCTGGGTGTGGGCTGCGGTGCTGTTATCGTCCCAGAGGTAAGGCGGGAGTTGGCATACAGAAAAAAACCATTAAAGCAACAGCTTCGTGACCCTGGCAGTATCAAGTAGGTCAGCAGCAATATCATCCAGGAAAACTAGTCACTGATGTACCATAAGAACAAACAGCATACCACCCTTAAAGGTAGAAAAGAAATCTACCGTTATAGTATAAGCCCAAAGACAAATACCTACCACGTGGGTAACTGTAGCCTCCAATAATAATAGAGAAGAGCTCAACAGTAGTGGCATAGAGGTAGCTACCTAAAGATTAATAAAGCTTAATGCTTGTACCGTTAAAGACATGCAGGTTGGGAATGCGTACATGCAAAAAAATTTGAAAATTGAAACAATGGTAGATGAGAAGGAGGAGGAAACAGTGAGCCGAGGACGGATCCTGTTACGGACAGAAGGATATTTGTAGAATTAGATAAAGGAAACAATGGCAAAGCAAGAAACAGAAGGTTTTAAAGGGAGGAAGGTGTACTGTAGAGGAAAAAATAGAAAAGATTGAAAGGAAAAAGATTTTTTTTAAAAGTAAGAAGAAAGAAAAACGAGTCCTGAAACAGTTTTTATGAGTGCACGTGTGTGGCACGTAGTGTTGATCCTCACGGGGAGCCGGTGCTTGTACACAGTGCATCGTGCCCCTTCATTCCTCCCCTTCCCTCGGCCCCTCCCCTTGCACCCGAAGAGCGATTTCCTGCTAGGGTTGCAGTTTCGGAGTCCTGCAGGTCCGTTTTCTTGGCCTAGCCTTACGGCCTGTGGTTTTCTGAGGGACACTCCTTCTCCAGAGGCCCCGCTGCTCACCCCAAGCTGTGGCAGCGTGCGTGGAAGCGTGTGCGTGCTCGTGCTGGTGGGTGGGGAGGGCAGTCGGACGTGAGAGCTGTGAGGGCAAGGACCCAAGTACTTGATGCAGGCCCGCGCTTCCAGACCTCCGCTGTGCCTGAGTGCCGCTGCAGCAGGGCCTGGCTCTTCTGTGAAGGATGGGCCATGTCCTTCCGGGCCGGAGTTTAAACTTCTCAGGGACTCTCCCTCTAGGCCAGTCCCTGTCCACCGCCCCACAGTGGTGTCCCCTGGCGACCTCACAGTCACTGGGCGAGGGGACACTGGGAGCCCTGGGGTTGAAGGGTTTTGTTTTTTTTTAACTTGTTCTGAGTCCCAGGTTTAAACAATCACCCAGTCGAGCATTTTCTGTTGATAGGTGGGTGCCGCTCTGGCTGTTGTTTCCTGTGTGGAAGAAGTCCCCCTAGGAAAAACCCCAGGCCCCTTTGCCGTTTTCACAGGCCGTAGGCCCTGCTGCTGCTTCTGCCTGCCTCTCCCTGCCCGGCTCACTTTCCTGCTTCCGGGGCGCTGGCTCCCCTTCGCGCGGCTGCAGGGGAGATTGCAGGCTGTCTTCTCACTTTCTTTGCATTGTGGATGCTCTTCCCAGCTCCGTTGCAGCTTCTGGTTTTTCCAGTTGTTCTTTCCAATTCCTGGTGATCTGTTTCTGTTTTTTTCTTCAAGCTGTTTTCCAGTTCCTGGATTCCAGATCTTGGAGAGGCTGAGTTTTGCTGTCCATCGTACTCTACCATTTTATTTCTCTTTTCCTTCTGTTTTTGGATCAGTGGGATAGATTAGTTTCAGTGACAGGACAGTCAGAGTTTTTACTGGCAGTTCTAGCCCACGGGAATTACCTTATTCATTGATTCTGTGTCGTTGTTGCATTTACAGCAGCTGGCCTGTGAGAACTTGAAAATATCAATGTTTTGTCCATTCTTTAAGGTACATGTTTCCCATTTTGTCATGTAAACTTTTTTTCTTACTTCAGCACCCCCCCGCACACACACACTGGGGTGTGAACCCAGGACCTTCGCAGTGAGCTGCATCTCCTTTACACGAGTTAAAATTTTTTTTATTTGAGGTAGAATGTCCCTGTGTTGCCCCGAGTGGGCTGGTACTTGTGGTCTTCCCTGCCTTCGCATCCCAGTGCTGAGATGTAGGCGTGTGCCCCCGTGCCAGCGTGTGATCATTCTCCTGTCGGAGGACTTTCCAGGAAGCTTTTGTTTGCTCAGTGAGGCCCAGCTCTTCCCTTATCTTCGTATTTCTGAGCGTGAGTGTTACTGGGAAGGGACTCAGACTTTCTCACTGACTTCCCAATGCTACACTCTTCATTCTCTTCTTCTCCTTCCTGCCTGCTTCTCTGCCTTGCTGCGGAGTTGCTCAGCATGGCCAATCGCAGTGCTCTTGCCTCCGCTTCCCAAGTGCTGGTATTACAGGCTGCGCCAGCTCCTGGCTGTGTGTTCCGAGTCTTTCATCCTCCGGCCTTCTGAGTCTCTTCTCCGGACTGTTTTTTCTGGACCAATTGTAGTTGACGTTTTCTTGCTTTTGTCACCTCAATACTTAAACACTCCTCACTTTTCTTTCAAGTTTTGTGTCTGCTTACACCAGTTAGCAAAGTTAGAATGATCTCTTATTTCCTAGCAGACTAAAATCTTTCATGCCAAAGGACTTCTTTTGCTCATACATTTCCTGAATTTCTTTCTAGTAGTTTTTTTTTTTTGGTTTTTCTCCGGTACCAGGAACCAAACTCATGACCTTGCACTTGCCAGGCAGGCGCTTTGCCACTGAGCTAAATCCCCAGCCCCTTTCTAGTCGTTTTTATTTGTTAAATACTTCTCTCTGTGTGTATCGTACTGAGGAAGCAAGCCTCCAAGGGTACTGTGCCACTATCCGCAACCCTTTTTTATTTTGAGTCATCTTTTTTTTTTGTCCTTTTGAGACAGGATTTCACTATGTAGTTCGTGCTGACCTTGAACTCACAGCGATCCTCCTGCTTCAGCCTCCTGAGTGCCAGGATTATAGGCATGCACTACTGTGCTTGACCCGGGATATACTTCTTAAATGCTTTTGTACTTTAGTCTTTGGAACTGAATTTCAAACTTCTGCTCCAAAGATATTTTCATTGTTTATGTAGTTACAAAATATTATTGATCTAGAAGTTGATAGTATATTCAAGTGTTTGTGTTTGCCATTAGGAAAAAGTTGTTTTTAGTAAGTATGTCCAGAGAACTCTTTAACATTTGAGATGGAGCACATTAGTCAGATGATTGGAACTCTCACTGTTCTGAACATTTCCAGAGAGAGGACCTGTGCTGAAACACATCAGTATTCCTACTCTTTGTTTGTTTGTATTGTTGTTATTGTTGTTTGGTTTTTTGAGACAGGGTTTTGCTATGTAGCCCAGGTTGACTTTGAGCTTACAGCAGTCCTCCTGCCTCAGCCTCCCAAGTGCTGGGATTAAGGTATGCTCTATTGTGCCCAGCTTAGTATACATACCCTTTGCTGTTTTTAGATTCCTACAGGCACGAACAATAAAACAGCTCTGTTCATTCTTGTTACTGCTTGTGTGCTGCTGGTGATCAAGCATCGGGACAGCAGTGTACCAGGTACCTGTCTTCAGCGCAGATAAACAGTTCTGCGATGTGCTTCGAGGCTGCTGCGGCTTTCCTCACGGTACCTGCCCCGTGTCCTCCAGGGTGCACTTCTACCTTGCTTTTTCCCCTTGCAGTTGGCCCAAGCTTGCTCTGTGGAGCCAGTTTCTCTCACTCTTCACTTTCAGTTGTAAAATAAACTTTGCTACTGATTTTTGCTCATTTCACCCAGTTCTTTGTTTGAGAGAGGAAGAGCCTGGGCGCCGGTGTGTTTAGGGTGTAGTCGTGAAAGCAGGAACGCGCACATACACGCAAATGCACACAAGTCGTCGCCTTTATTTTTACTGTGTTCTTCTTCTGTTTCAACGCAGGAAATGTATGAAGTTGCCAAGAAACTTTGCTCTTTTTGTGAAGGTCTTGTCCACGATGAACATCTTCAGCACCAAGGCTGGGCTGCAATCATGGCCAATCTGGAGGACTGTTCAAATTCATACCAAAAGCTACTTTTCAAGTTTGAAAGTATTTATTCAAATTATCTGCAATCCATAGAAGACATCAAGTTAAAACTTACTCAGTATGTTTACCATTAAGTAGATAACAAGATAGTTATTTGTTAAAAATGTCTTTGAAATTTATAAGTAGTTTTAGCCACTGTTTCTTTTTTCTTTTTTTTTTTTAATCTTTTTGAGACAGGGTTTCAGTATGCAGTTCAGGCTGGCCGTGAACTCACTTTGTAGCCTATGCTGGCCTTGAACTTGCAGCAATCCTCCTGCCTCAGCCTCCTGGAATTATAGGTGTGAGGCACCGCACCAGGCCTAGTTGCTGTTTCTTGTCATTAATCTAGCATGTTTATTTTTTGAGTCTTGTGCTGCTACTGCTTTCTAGGTTATAATTTTTCTAGGTGTATGGATTTATAAATTTGTAATTTAAAAATTATTCTTATTTTTGCTTTATCATATATAATTCTATATACTTTTTCATGTTGTGTTATGAAAATGGCTCAAAAATACTAAAATCATTTATAAGACTAATAATTTTTGCTCATACTATTTATTTATTTATTTATTTTGGTGCCGGGAATCAAACTCAGGACCTTATACTTGCCAGGCAGGTGCTTGTGCGGCTGAGCTATATCCCCAGTCCTGTCTCTTGTTCTAAAGAAAAGACAAGATATAAAAATAGTGCATCTAATAGAAATGTTCATGCTAACAGACGGAATGAGGAAGGAAAGTTTTAAGTTTCTTTTTCAATATTGCCATCCTAGCTGGGCGTGGTAGTACAGGCCTGTAACCCTCGCAGTTAGGAAGCTGAAGCAGGAGGATTGCACAAATTCAAGGCCAACCTGGGATACGTAGTGATTTTAAGGACAGCCCCAACTACATAGCAAAACCCTGTCCCAGTAACCACCCCCAAAAAAACTACTGCCATCCTGGTATACCTTCAGTAAGTTGGAAATCAACCATCACTTTCTAGTATCATTTAGATAGCTTTCTAGTTCTTTAAGAGAAGCACATCTAACATCATTGGATTTTTAAAGAAAAGGCTACAGTTAATATAAAAAGAAGGGATAATCCAAAATGAATAAACTTGTATGTGTGTACACATGCTTGCACTCCCGAGATTTTCAAGTTCTTTGTATTAGTTTTGGTTCTGTGGGGTTTTTGTTTGTATCATTAACTTGACCTTGAATCAGAGACAAGTAGCATGTTCGTTCATATTCTCCACCCACGCGTCCTTCCTTCCTTCCCTTCTTCCCTCCCTCGGTCCTTCCCTGCCTGCCTCCCCCCACCCCACTTTTATGTTTTGCTGTGTGAAGACTTACATTTTGGTCTTCTGTTGAGAATAAAAGAAGTCTTGGGAGGAAAAAGAAGTAATAATTAAGAATAGAAAGATCTTTTTTAACGTTTATGTAGTAACCTTTACAAGTAACTTGTTTTGGAGATTTTATGTCAGTTTAATGTAGGTACATGTACCAAAGAATTTTTGGAGAGTTAATGTGAACTTAATGTAGGTACCTGACCATTTTATATACATTTTTTGGGGTTTTGTTTTTTTTTCCCCTCTTTTTTTTTTTTTTTTTTCTTTTCTGGTACCGGAAATCGAACTTACGACCTTGCGCTTGCCAGGCAGGCACTGTGCCGCTGAGCTAAATCCCCAGCCATTTATATACGTTTAAGAGATGAAGTGTTATATTTCCCATACCTGTTAACTATGTACATCTGTCTTTTTCAGAGTAAGTTTTCTGAAGATTAAGACTTAATTTTATCCTATATTTTCAGTATTAAGTATGTTTGACTTAAGACAAAGGAGCAAATTGTATAAATTTGAGTTTTTATGCCTCAGTGTTTAGTAAAAGGTAGATGCCCACTTTTTTATGATAGCCTAACAAGCTTTAGTTTAGTATTTTCGGGTTATTTTTGTTTGTTTGTTTTTGTCTTTTTAATGTGGGGTTTCACTATGCAGTTTAGGCTGGCCTTAAACTCACTTTATAGTCCAAGCTGGCCTCCAACTCACAGCGATCCTCCTGCTTCAGCCTCCCAAGTGCTGGGATCACAGGTGTGCACCACCACACCCGGCACTAGATTAGTATGTTGATATCTTAATCATAAACATTCTGTCTCTGCTAACCTAGTTTCCTGTTAGTAAACAGATAATTTGTAACTTACTTTTATCAGTGAATAATATATAGACAAGTGACACGATCTTGTGTGTATGTTAATAAGGTAGGACGCTAATCCTAATGTAGAGAAGGCTTATTTTACTGACAGATCTTTTTGTGTTTTAAGTTTAGGAACTGCGGTTTCAGTAATGGCCAAGATTCCTTTGCTGGAGTGCCTAACCAGACATAGTTACAGGGAATGCTTGGGGAGACTGGACTCCTTCAACGAGCACGAAGGCTCAGGAAAGGCCGAGATGAAACGATCCACTGAACTGGTGCTCTCTCCCGACCTGCCTACAACAGCGGATACATCCGTGGTAACCTCATGTCACAAGTCAGTGGGACGTGCAGCCCCGGACAGCACAGATGCTGAGAGTGGCAGAGAGATGCGGGAGTCTTGTCAGAGTGCTGCGCCGCAAGATGCACCTGCAGTAGATGCTAAAGACAGCGACCTGCCTTTTTTTAATGTTTCTTTGTTAGACTGGATAAATGTTCAAGATAGACCTAATGATGTGGAATCTCTGGTCAGAAAGTGCTTTGATTCTATGAGCAGGGTGAGTAGTGTTAATGTGATGTTTCTCATGTTTGCATTATTTGTTATATAATGAGAAAATGGAAGTAGTATGCTGTGGATTGAAACTTCCAGATGGACTCAAACTTGTAATCGTATTTATGAGTTGTCTATAAACTTATGGAGCTCATGTGAAATCGTATAGGTCAGGTGTCTTGTGCGGTGAGAGTTATTTCCATATAGCGTACCCCGTAGGTCTGGAGTAGTTAGCTAAAAGTAAACTGCCACCCGGCTGCACAAGGAGAGGGTGGGGGGGACACAGCGCGCTGCACTGTCTTGCTAGGTGATCCCCTGTCCTGCCCCAGGCCTCTGCCAGCGAGAAGGCCATCACCAGATGTGACCCTTACCCGCAGGTTTCCAGAATTGTGTGCCGAAATGAACCTCCTTTCTTGACAACTCACATAAGGGAGTACATAAAACCACCACCCAACAGAGGGTACCGAGAGTTTCCATCCCCGGAGAATCCCCTCAGGCCTGTTTCCAGTGGCTGTTCTCCTAGAGGAACCTCTTTGGGAATTGTTAAAGAAAAAATTTTAAGTACTACTTCTCCTCTAAAATCCAGAAACTTACATTGTGGTTTTAATTATATTTTACAAATAACTCTGGGAAGTAAATTTCTATCTCTCCTATAAATTGATAACAAATACTTAAAGCCAAAAAGGCAGCTGTCCCGGGCGTGGTGGAGCACGCTGGTAATCCCAGCACTTGGGAGGCTGAGGCAGGAGGACCCTTGGGAGTTGGAGACCAGCCTAGGCTACAAGGTGAGCTCAAGGCCAGCCTGAACTGCATAGGGAGACCCTGTCTCAAAATAAAAAAGAAAGGAAACTGATGGAGGCACATGTAAGGAAGCTGAGGGGGGCATACCTTACAGTGATACAAGATACAAGAAGTGTTACGGATATTTGTTGTCCAGTTATAACGAGATAACAGACTTTTCTTGAGAGGCATTCCATTTCGAAAGAGACTGACCACTGATTCACCGGAGAAGACATGCACATTGTCTAAGGTGCCTAGCAAACACTGCACCCTGCGCTTGTCTAAAAAATGACACACAGGAACATGGAAAACATTCGAAGATTGAGGTTCCATAATTCTTTTCCGTGTCTGTTGCCTTGGTGACGTCCAGTAGGATAGGTTTCTCATTCAGTTAGGATGTTTGCTGGGGCAGGAAAATTTGTAATAATATACTTTGCAAAGCCAAAATTAAATGAAAGAAAGTTGGGCTAATACTCCTGCTCACACTGTTGACATTTTAGTAACCTAAAAATTACTTTTAGGATTATGGATAATCAGCCATGTGATTGTGATTAAGATAACAAGTGACATTTTTTTTTCTTTATTTTTGTTGGGGGAACCAGGAATCAAACTCATGACCTCAGGTTTGCCGGGCAAGCGCTTATGCCGCTGAGCTACATCCCCACCCCTGACAAGTATCACTTTTTAGAGCAAACTACATATGCTCTATATTACAACACTGTTAATAGACTATGAAGCTGGGGATTTAGCTCAGTGGCATAAGCGCTTGCTTGGCAAGCGCAAGGTTGTGAGTTCAATCCATGGTACCGCAAAAAAAAAAAAAAAAAAGGAAGAAAACCTGGCATTGGCTTTGAGTTTCATGTTGAAATGTAAAATGTAGCAGATCATAGGTTTTCTTATTATTATTATTATTTTTTTTTTTTTTTGGTTTTTTGGTTTTTCTCCAGTACCGGGAACCGAACTCACGACCTTGCGCTTGCCAGGCAGGCGCTTTTGCCGCTGAGCTAAACCCCCAGCCCCCCGTAGGTTTTATTATTTTACATGACAAGAGGAAGGAAACAGGGGTGCCCTACTGTCCTAGCAGTATTAAAAACTGTTATCCCTACAGGAGACAAGTTAGTTGTACTGTTAGTATCGAGGGATTACATGACTGGATCTCAGGGGTCAATGCTTATTTTTTGGGTCATAGCAGTATGCTCTGAATTCTATATTTTATGTGACTATTGATTTAGTTATGCGTGTTTTATATAAAATTAGCATGACTTTACTACCATGTAGCCCTCATCAATTGCACAGGAACATTAGATTATTTTTTGTTCAAAGTGGAAATTCATTTTGGAAAAATTTAATATTTTTGAGCAGTATGTGCTGTTTTATACATGGAATGTGTACATTTTTCTCCTTACGAGCACTTTTCATGGTGTCACCAGTGGCATTTCTCTAAAGACTAAATTGAACATAAGTATTCTCTTGGATCAGGGATACTTTCTTTTTGTACTCCAATTTTAAATTATCAGTAATATTTTATAACTTGCATTAGATTTCTGTTTTAACTTTGTATTTTACTTATTTTAGTTTTTTTGAGACAGGGTTTTTTTTACATGTAGTTCAGGCTTGAACTCACTGTGTAGCATAGGCTGGCCTTGAACTCATGGTAATCCTCCCGCCTCAGCCTCCTGAGTGCTGGGATTATAGGCATGTGCTACCAGGCCTGGCCTTTCATTGCATTTCAGCATATTCTTGCTGAAGGGGCTGGGGATTTAGCTCAGCGGCTCAGCGGCTCAGTGCCTGCCTGGCAAGCGCAAGGTCATGAGTTCTATTCCCAGTACCAAAAAAAACAAAAACAAAACAAAACAAAAAAATTCTTGCTGAAATGAGTCTAAAATTTTGTTTATTTGTTTGTTTGTTTTGAAGCAAGGTCTCTGTGCAGTTCAGACTGGCCTTAAACTCACTTTGTAGCCCAGTTTGGTCTTAAAGTCACAGCAATCGTCCTGCCTCAGCCTCCCAAGGGCTGGGAGTTTAAGCATGTGCCACCACGCCCGGCAGGTGTTCTATTCTAAATTACACTACAAAAGGCAAATCCTTGTGCCTCTGACAATAATAGGACACATGCACTTGGCTCACATATAGGCTGCCAGAGCTAATGCTGGCAGAGTTCACTGACGCTAGCATTTCTTTCAGCCAGACTTGTGGTGGTTGGGAATATCTGTGCTAAGAGGGAGGGGTTAAGACGTGATAGTTAAGAGTGGAGAGGGTAGGAGGAAGGTTTTGTTTTTGCAGTTTGCTCTGAAGGCAGCAGTGTTAGATGTTGTGAATGTAACCAATCAAAGGAGGAGCCCAGGAGTAAAAATTTGTACAACACTAAATGTTAAATACTGAAATTTTGGGGCCAGGGACATAGCTCAGTGGCAGAAGCACCTGCCTGGTAAGCATAAAGTCCCAAGTTCGATTCCTGATACCAAAAAATGAACAACAAAAAAAATACTGAAATTTTGCAAATAAGTATTAATAGGATTCTGTGGTATGTAAATGTATACCTTCTAAAACATTTCTTCAGAAACTCTATTTGGAAAGTTTAATTTTCAGTAACTGTCAACAAATTGAATATTTTTCTTTTAATGGTACTGGGGATTGAACCATGGCCTTTGCACTGAGCTACATCTTCAGGCATCTCTACCTGTTTATTTTTTTCTTTTGGAATAGAATCTGGCTAAGTTCCTGAAGCCAGGCTTAAATTTGATGATCTTCCTGCTCTAGTATCCCACTAGTGCTGGGATGGCAGGTGCCCCCAGCAGTAAAGTACTGAATTCAGTAAGAACTGTGGAAATCTGTAATTCTCTTCCATATTTGCCAATGTAGCTGTATGGTACATTCAAGTGAATTATGGAATACAGACGCATTTGTGAGCAACCTCAGTTCATGGTGTTTTTTCCTGAAGTCATTGCCATGTTAAATTTACAAAGAGTTGTCATTTTGCTGAAATTGCCCTTTCATCACCCTGACTTACAAACAGTACGGTTTTGTGTCATATTCCATAATGGAAGTGTGCGCACTTCCCTCAGGTTACCACAAAGTCGACAAAAGTGAGAAACCCCTCCCGTGCACATAGCATCAGCTAGTGTATGCAAGTGAGCGCTGCGTAATAAAAACGCCGTGGTCCTTGTGGATTGTAGAAAGAAGACGTCGTCGAGGAGGAAGTTTGACTAGGACCTAGGAATACAGACGGGGTTAGACAGTGACCAGTGCCACTCATGGTAAAGATCAGAAGTAGAAACGTAAGGTTTGTCTCAAAGTGGTGGGACTTAGGAGGTGTAGAAAGATTTGCTGGGGTCAGAGGACTGGTGTTTACTGTACTGGGCATGTTATTTGTGGGCAGAAAGAAGCCATCTGGGGTTTCATCAAGAGATAGCTATCATAAGTCAGTAATAGTAGATGACGTGGTTGATATCCACATGTAGAAATTAGCAGACATTCGGAAATACTTGAAGAATTTGTGAGTCAGGGTAAGGGTTGTACTAGCTGTGGGAGTTACCTATAGTAGAAGCTGTGCTTCTACTACAATTTTCATGCGAAAATTGTATGGAGGAGGGGGAGTGGGCTAAGGACAGTGTCCTTCCTGATCATCGTTATGTAGAGATGAGACGGAGGGAGAGGACTGAGTGAAGGATGCTGCGAAGGAACCAGCAGAGGTAATGTCCTCAAACCTATGGAGTTTGGGCAGTGTTGTCTGCTTTGCTGAATATACAAGAACATTGAATGAAGCAAGGTTACTTGGTGGTATTTTGAGCAAACAGTTTTAACAGAAAATGCAGACAGAAAGGTGGCTAGTGCAAAACACTCTGAAAGGGTAAATAAGGCAGCAGTGTTGAACAGTTTTTAGGTTCTGTAAATTCCAGCAGGTTTTGTAGAATTGAAGCCAGAACTCAGGAGGGATTGAAGAGTAAGAAAGTATAGTTGGTCAGCCCCATTCATTCCTTGAGGAGACAGAGACCAGGAAAGATTTAGTTTGTGTTTGTGAGATGGGGAGGTAACACTGACTGAAGCAGTGCATAGATTGTAAAGAGAAGCCAGATTGGTAAAGAGTTATTCTTTTTTTTTTTTGGTATTTTTGAGACAAAGTCTCGATATGCAGCTCAGGCTGGTCTCAGACTTGCAACGATCCTCCTGCCTCAGCCTCCCGAGTGCTGGGATTACAGGCGTGCGCCACCATGCCTGGCGATAAAGAGTTATTCTTAACCAAGGAATGAGTTTTGTTATGAACTATACTGTACTTTATAAGACCTTGAAAGTAATATTTTTAAGGGATATTAAGAATTGATTAAGTCGTGGCTTTCATTGAAACATGTGACTCTTGGAACTGTATTCTTCAATAAATATTTTCTTTTTTGTACTGGGAATCGAACTCAGGGCCTTGTGCTTGCCAGGCAGGCGCTATGCTGCTGAGCTATATTCTCGGCCTGGAACTGCATTCTTAATATTATGTTCTAGTATATTCAGTATAGATTTATAAAGGTAGCTTTGATGTGCCATGCTCTGCTTTTCTAATGCTTTTTCTCTGTTTCTCTGGCACCGTATGTGAACACGGTGTGAAATAACATTTAAAACTCTGTGCTGAAAATTTCACTCATACTGATTTCCTTGTCACTTAGCTTGACCCAAAGATCATCAGACCGTTTATAGTAGAATGCCATCAGACTATTGCCAAACTTGATAATCAGAATATGAAAGCCATTAAAGGGCTAGAAGATCGGCTCTACGCCCTGGACCAGATGATTGCCAGCTGCGGCCGGCTGGTGAACGAGCAGAAAGAGCTTGCTCAGGTACTCGCTTCGCACTTTCACCAAGCAAAAGAATTTGTAGTATGTCGACATAAAGTGTTTTATTTGCTGTATCAGTTTGATGTGCATTTTGCTCTCGCTTCCCCTTTGACTGTGACTCACGTACGATAGATAGTGCTTTCAGTGTAATAAAGAACGGCATGTTGTAAATGGTTGGGTTTGGTAAGATAAAGTGATCCCGGTGTGTACGGCAGATGTAAGCTAAAGGATAAACCATGAAGTGCTTCTTAGAACTTGGGGAGATCAATGTTTGTTGCTACGATAAAAATATGATAAAGCAGACCTTGTACTAACAGACGTTTGAGTATTCCTGCCCCCTCAAAACACTGAAGAGTCTGAGAAATGCTTAAAGAAGAGATGAAAAGTGCCAGCTCTCGGAGACGGTGTAGTGCTCCCAGAATCCCTTTCTCCCCCGCCGTGACAAGCGCTGCGGCACAGCCGCCCGGAGCCAGCGGCTGTGTCCCCTCACCGGCCGCAGCGCCGCCTTTCCCAGTTTAACTTCCCGCCAGAGACTTGCCTCTGAATACGCTCTGCGAAGGCTGTGTGAAAAGCGTATTCCCCACACTGGCCTTTTCCTAATTTTTTTTTTTTTATAAAAAATGTCCTTGATGTACTGTAGGCTGATGTAGATTAGAATGTCCTTTGGTGTTACTTCTTAGTGACAGATTCAGTTTTGTCATTGGAAATCTCTTTAAGGCATTGATTTCTGGAGGGTATTTTGCTTCGTATGGAATTTGGACCTGTTAGCTCTTTACTGTAGGTACTTTCTTTGCATTCACTTGTTTTTGTGTTTAGCAGTTCGGCTGTGGTGTGACAAGGTGTGGCTTTTGTTGTGTTGGTCCTGCTTTGGTCCTGCAGTGTTCGCTGGGTCTTGGTTGAGTGAAAGTCACCGACTTTCTTCGGCGTTGGCCGCACTCACTCTCACTTCGTATTCAGTGATGCCGGCGGCTCTGCGTGGTCGTTAGACCTTCAGCGTGTTCTGTTTAGAGGTTGCAGCTGGTTCCTTTCAGTGATGACTGCATGTAGTAAACTATTAATTACTTTTTTCTGTGGCTTATTTTTTAACCCCTGCAATTTCTGTTTGCTTCTCTTTGTTTATATAGTTTCAAATTTTGTCAAAATATTGTCTTATCCATCATCTCTTTAATCACATTAAGCACACAGTACTTTTTAAAGTTTCTGAATTAATTCCCTTTCCTGTGGCTCTGTATTGTTTTATTCTTGGAAATCCTTCCTTTTCGTGTTCTTGATTGTTTTTAGTAAGAAAAACAGTTTCACGCCTAAGATAGCCTAAACGTTAGATTTCTCCAGCATCTCAAAGAATTTTTGTGTGCTTTCAGCACGTGGCAGGCGGTCATCGTCTTCAACCACCCTAACCTGCCTGCAGAGATGTAGCTGACGGGAGGTGGGTCTGGTCCTTGGCGTGGCCAGTCAGATGTTAGAGTGCCTTTATTTGTAGGGTGTAGCTTTAAGAGACAAAAATATAAAGCATTCCATTTTCTTTTGCTTTGGCCAGCTCTGTTGTCTAGTTTCTTAATTTCTTAGTTCTGTATGGAAGGAAAACTGTTGGCTAGTACCTACTCTTAGTATGACCACTACCTCAGGAATCAGAGGAAATCTCCAAGATAAAGCATTTCTAGTTTCCTTTCTGTTCTGCTTCCCCGGGATCCCAGGCTCTGGATAACACCTAGTTCTGGGCCGGACTCATACCACCGCGATTCCCAGCCGAAAAGCGCCCAAAGAGCCAGGTAGGCCGCACCCAATCCCGGAGGCCAGGACGCGAGAACA